CCATTTTGTCTTCATGCTCTAATGAGCAACTCTCATAGGAATGAATGAGGCCCCGCCTCCCACACTGTATCCAGTTCTTATTATACATCCATGATCTGTACTGGCTCTTTTCTCTATAGGATATTTCCCATTTACCATCTGGTGTACTGGTTAACTCGCTTAACTGGGAACAAATAGCATTCCAATTAATTTACTTACAATTATCTCACAGCAGCACACACACACACACACACACACACACACACACACACACACACACACACACACACACACACACACACACACACACACACACACACACACACACACACATTGTTTTTTGTACAGTACGCTCCATCTGGATTCACTGAGTTGTATTGTTATGTGGTGAAGTGTTAAGTATTATTTTTAGACTTTTGAATTGTCTAATGCTAAGGAGTATCAGGTGCTTGATATTATTCCCCACTTGCTCCCCTCTATTGTGTATCAAGGCTTGAGTTGGTGCTTTTACTTGTTGGAATTTCCCCCTGCGGTGACTGGAGCGGCAGAGTTGTTGAGGGTGTACAAGCCATTATCAACTGCTTCCATGCAGAGAATTGCTTCCATACAATTCATTCATTTTTTCAAAATGAATGAATTGTTATGGCTAATCGACAATTGGTAGACATTGCTGAATACACAGTCGGATGCCAACTTTGCAGAGCACACACAGGCCTATTCGACTGCTCCATCTTTCACAGAGGTACACTTAACTTGGCATCTGTTATATCTAAGATTAACCATTTGCCAATCTGAGTTGTGAGGTATCTTACATAAGAAGACATCTGAGTCCTGTGGCTGCTTGCTGATGAGTCGTTTCCAGTAACTGGGATAACACGTCAGTTATCCCTAGTTTATTGCCTTGCAAGCTTTTAGAAACTGCATTCAGTCTCACCCTAGTTAGCGGTGAATGCTTGAAAATGTACTATTCTGCTGACTGGATAACAGTATGGGATGTTTTCGTGTCTGTTACATTCGCTTTGCAAGCAGAAAATAAGTCTGCCTCTTTACCTGCTTATAGCTTGTTGTGTTTGATCCACAAAGAAAAGGCATTGTCAGTAGGGACTTAACCAGCTGGTGCCTTGTGTATCAGGAGACTTGGTTGTTATGTTGAGCGTATACATGCTGTATAATACTACTACAGTGCTTGGTATCTAGAGAGAGCAGCTGTTGTCCTCAGTGGCAATCTAATCAACAGAAATAGTCGGAGCCTCCCCTCACTGGGACACGGGCCTTGTGGTGCAGACAGGTCACAGCGACTCCTTTCAGAAACAACGCATAAATAAACTGAACATACGATGGTTTATTTGGCACTTCCTGAATTATATTAGTGCCGGTAGCGATCAATTTTTCATTAAAGTATCCTTTTTAACTTTGATTCTTCTTTGAATCCGATTCAGAAACACTTAACACATACGAGGCATGCATACATAAACACAGTCAAAGAAGATACATTGTAATTGCCTTTTATACTGTTACAAACTCTTTTTATATTGGTTAAGCATTGTCTCAATAACTATATTTCTGGGTTCTATGTCAATACTGATTTAAAATTACTATGTCATCCTTGAAAAACAGGATTTATGTATGAATTAGTTGACATCATGAAGTCATCTTAATGTTTTGGTGTTTATTTTTTCTACACCATAGACCCACTGTTATTGCACAACAAGTAAAACCTGTAGTACTTTTTGAACCAGAATCTTATTGACCCATACATATTATTCTGTTGCCGCAGCGTGAATTCACTGCCAGCATGCAAATGAGTCGGGTTGGTTGCTTGGCCAAGACCTCACATCAGTAAATATCCCACATCACTGTGGATACTCTCTTGGCGGTTGTTGGACACTTTTTTTTATAGTTGCTGGACTCCTATGAGTTAATGCTGTAGGCCTGCTTTTGTAAATATAAGGAGGAGTCAGTAATCCTGCAGCAACATGCTATCTTGGCACCAAGGTCCACTGCCTATCTTAATGGTGAATACACTGTGTTAAAAAGCTCCAGTTTGTGTTGAAAGGTCCATGTCAAACACACTCATAAACAATGGAAAGTGTGTTTTTAATAACTGACAAAACAATCTTTCCAAGTATTATTTCTGCCTATTTGCAGAGTTGGAGGCAAAAATGTCAGCTGGTTATCATAGCAGCTCCCCAAGGGTAGCTAATGTTCAAGCTTGACTTGTTCTGAGCCTTTACAACCCTGCATGCTGAGAATCTCACTTTCCGTAGAATATATTCTGAGAGAAACTACAGACACCATTTCCCAAAGTGTTCCTTGTGTAAAGATAGATTAATTACTGTTAGTGTTTCCACTGGAAAAAACGCAAATGGCCACACTACGAGCTCTGTCCTTCCTTGTAAAAATGTAATTTACCAACGCTGAGTTGTTAAAAGAGAGGTAATTGTGTGTGTAATAACACGTAGAGAGACATCCATTTGTAGATTTGAGCTCTGATACAGAAAGGACACAGCAGATATGTCATTAGACAGATTACTATATCTTCACTTGCCAGCCTGCTTTTTATAGGTTATTTACCTATAAAGGTCTACCTGCATGTGCCATCCGTCCTCTGCAGCTCATCCAGAATGCAGCGGCTCGTCTGGTCTTCAACCTTCCTAAATTCTCCCACACCACTCCGCTCCTCCGCTCCCTTCACTGGCTTCCGGTAACTGCTAGAATCCACTTCAAGACACTGGTACTTGCTTACCATGCTGCGAATGGATCTGGCCCTTCCTACATCCAGGACATGGTTAAACCGTACACCCCAGCGCGTGCACTACGCTCTGCATCAGCCAAACGACTCGTTGCGCCCTCGCTGCGAGGGGGACCCAAGTTCCCATCGGCGAAAACACGTGGGTTTGCTGTCCTGGCTCCAAGATGGTGGAATGAGCTCCCCATTGACATCAGGACGGCAGATAGCTTACACACCTTCCGGCGCAAACTGAAAACTCATCTCTTTCGACTCCACTTCGAGCGTTAGAACTATTAACGAAGCACTTTTATACTAATAAAGGACTGGCTTATCTAAAGCCAGTTGAGTAGCACTTGAAATGTTTGGCTCTATGAAACCTGATGTACTTATATGATTCTGTTTTCTTCAAGGTTGTGTCTTCCTGGTCGAATGTACTTATTGTAAGTCGCTTTGGATAAAAGCGTCAGCTAAATGCAATGTAATGTAATTTAACTGATTACTAATGGTTAATTAATGTATAGCTTACATGTACTGGCAGCATGGGGGCTTAGCGGTTAGCCCTGCATGTCACAGCTGCCTAATGGTGCAGCTCTGTGTGAATGTTCTTCCTCTGTCTGTGTGTGGGTTTCTTTCCACAGTCACAGCAAATGCAGATTTGTTGACTCGATATCGCTTGTAGTTGTGAATAAAAGTGTCAATTTGAGTTGTGGGTGTGAGTGTTAGTCCTGTGATAGACCAGCGGCCAGTCCTGGCTGGGTGAACGGAGCTTCTTTCACCACTGCATGCTGGGATACAGTTCAGCCTGGAGTAACACACCTAACACACAACGACATAAAGTGCAGATAAAACAATCAACATAGGCTATTGGGTTAAAAAGCAACAACAGGTGGCAGGGTAGCTCTTTTGCACTTGCCCTTATTATCTTGATCATAAAAAGTTAAACATTTAAAATGAATTTGTTACATGTTTCTAAACTAGGTATTAAATATGTTGGCAGATTATACCACTGTTATGCTGCAATGTAGATACATGTGTTTTTAGAAGTCTAGCTTGACTTTAAAAAACGATTTATGAAGCAATTTACTTTACTCTACTTTAAATAATGTGACCTTTTGGGATTGCCTTTCTAACTAAGTTAGAAGTTAGAAGTTTTAGAACACATTAAACCACAACCAACCAACCCCAAGATTTTATGCCGGTTTTCGAGAAAAACAAGTTAAGACAGACTCCTTAATTATGTGTGTTTTTTTTTTCTAAAACATCTTCAGAACATCTGAAAGCATGCAGATGAGAAACATCTAATATTTGCATGTTCCTGTGGTTTGCCACACACTTTTCAGAGTGATGAATGTGACATTTGGGATGTGAGTGAATCAGGTCCTAACTGTTTTATTTTTAACAGCGTTGCCTCTTAGATGTGATGGTGGATGGATTTGAAAAAATAATCATGTCTGACCTTTCAGGGTGTTGTTGCTTTCTGTGCTTAAAGCAGGTTTGTTGAGCGCTTGAGTGACTTGTATCATAAAAGTGTGTGCGATCAGAGCCCCACAGAGGCTGCATAGACATGGGTCTCATATGAGTGGTTCATGGGGTACACTAGTTGGTTTTCAGCATGCTCAGTCAAGGTGTTTTAATGGAGACTTCATCTCTATCTTATTTTTCTTCAGGGCTGGGAAGCAGGCAACATCTGAGCACGTACACTAACTTTAAAGTGAAAGTATTTTAGTCAATCCAGTCTACCGTGACCCTCTGTCATACACCTGCCTACACACACTGTTACAAATCTCTATCTTACAAATGCTCACAGCCAAAGACACCAAAACAACCCTATTTTGTGCTTTTCCTCTAGTATGATAACGTTAAATTGAAAAAATGCAATGCTTATTGTGGTTTAGAAGTAAATAAGCTGCAGTCCGCTCTTCCATCTCTGATTGACAGTGGCAGCGACAGAGACCCCTCCCCAGTGTACGCAAACATTTCACATGAAAACTCTACATTCTGTATGCATGGCTCGGACCACATAGTGTTTTTGAATGGCAGCTACAAGGAAATGTCCCTGTCCTGTTCCAGTAATAGAAAATAAAAGCACCACTTTCACGCCTCATTTTTTTAAGCCTCTATTTTAGCTGAGCTCATTGTGACTTTCTGTAGAGCCTGATAGGGGCGGTTGGGAAAATAGCGTGAGGTTTACTGTTTTCCATTTTTATTGAGATTGTCCCAAACACTTTGTTTTCACTTTGTGCTCGAGATGATGCTCCATAACTTGTTTTTTGTGTCCATTTCACTTCAGCAGGAGGTACTGTCGGCTCCTTTCACCCGTCAGACTGTGAGGAGAGCACATGGCCTACGGTCTGCAGCCCACTCTACAATCTTCACCCAGCCCCCCACTGCCCTGTCTCCGCAGGTAAGTGTCTGCATGCATGTATGTATGTATTATTGAAAATAACATGTCATTTTAGACGTTATTGAATTCTGTGTCATAAGACCTCTAGCACAGACCCACATTTATGAAAGCTTTTGGTGTGTATGTGTCTGACAGGACATTGATCCAGAGCTTCTCTATATATTAATAGCAGCTAGCATCAGCACTCTTGGCACTATTAAAAGCTCACTTTATTGCAGTTTTTAAAGTATGACGGATAGGTCAGTCAGAATGTTTTATCATGATGATATCTGATCTATTTTGGCCAATTTTATTTTGCAATTAGTATAACCTGTATCACTCAGGCTTATACATTTCTGTAATGGACAATTTTATAGTAAGTTTTATAGTTCCCCTTGTGACCTTCATAAATGCAAGAGGCTGAAACTGTGCTAAAAACTAAATTCAGCAGAAAATACTTTCTCTTGGCAGCCTCTGTGTAGATGTAAAATTGGATTGATATCAAAATCCAAATAATCCGTTACAATCAATCCTTCCCTGTTTTGACGAGGACTTATCTGTTGATTCTATTATTTTCAGTTTGCCTGTAATTAGCATGTTAATCCTATTTATGCGAGAATATTATAAAGGTTGGTGAGGCCACTAGACGGCAGCCTGTAATAGAGCATTCAAATGTATTCAAAAACCCCACTGTTCAAAGCAACCTCACCGGGGTGTTGTTACTTTGATTCAGTGTTGACATGAAGCCGCGTGTGCTGCCATATGAATAACCCAATACGGACACCAAATCATCGGCGTGACAAGTATGTATTTGGATTATAAACACCAGCAAGTTTTTGCAAATGCAATGTGTCATGCAACAACGGAAGACAAGCTGTTTGGGGGACATGTGGCTTTGGTGTTAGAGCTAACCACCTGGTCATTGTAACCAGCGCACTGCTGCGTGTGTGAGTCAGAAATGTAATAGTATTAATATTGAAAACGATGATTAGTGCAACAGCGGGGGGAGTTTTTCTTTTTTTTTTTACATTGGCAGTTAAATTACAGTCCCATAACTTCTAATATAGTTAACAGTCACATAGATGCACCTGCCATTGGCTGGGACCCATGGGGCTTTCAAATTTCTTCCACAGTTATACATTTGATTGACTACCGCCATATGTTTTCAGATCGCATGGTGGGGTAATCCGGCAAGAGTTTGATTTGTATTATTGTCTTTTGTTTGCAGTGTTGTGTTGAAAAGTACTGAAATCTCTGAAATTACTGAGGTTTTCTAAATTGTGCGGTGAAATGCAGGTGTGTCATACTCTAGAGAGGATGTGCTAAATGGATAATGACTTTGGATACCAAATTATGTTAAAATGTCTGTTATTAATTATTTATAGATGTAAAATAGATAATAAAACGAAAACTTGAAGGACCTGTCATTGAAGTTTCAAATATATCCTAAATGTAAAATGTCTTTTGACTGCTTTTTCCAAGCTAAATAATGAAACCTTAAACTCTGTTTTTAAACAACATGAACGTTGTTTAAGCATTTATAAAAACTTTAAACATTTGTGATTTCATGACTGAGACCTGCTGAAGACCTGAGTGTTCACATGCGTGTCAGAGTCTCCATGTGAATATGTGTACAGTACTTGAGAATCGTCTTGCTTCTTTCTACACGGTATCACTCAGGATTACACTTTCGCACTATTCTCTGCACAAGGTGACATGTCAGTGACCTTTCAAAATGACACGAAAACTTGTCATAAGATCCGACAGAAGGCGTCTCGGTGCTGCCACTTCGTCCTTCCTCTTTTCCCCGACTTGGCTTGGTCACACTATCACTCTGTGCACTTGGTATTCCTGTGAGTAAGGTCCAGATAGAATCCAATAAGGCAGACGCATTATGTTAAAAAGATCAGCTCAAGGTTAAGTGTGCATATTTTTCACCGGGAAATGCGCTTGGCCCACCAACAAGCTTGCACGAGATGAAGGTTTTATGATGAGAACAGGATATTTGTTTCTTGAGTGCTTGAAATCCTTTGTCTATGTGTAGCAGTGCATTAGCTCATCTCTTTTTTTTCTTTCTGTCGGTGTGTGTAGGTGTGTGGTAACATGCATCGGAGGGAGTGTTTGTTCAGTGTTGCTTTGTTTGCGTTAGTGTAGGAAATGGAGAAGGCAGGCCTTGGTTTGCACAGGGTTGTGGGGTAGTAATAAGAGGAAAAATGAGCAGCGGCTTCCCCTTGGACTCGGTTTACATTTTGCTGCAGTAGCCCGCTCGGAAAGGCAATGGGGGAAGGTCGCTGAGTGAGAACAGGAAATGTATACATTGCTTTCCCTGCTGGAAAGTCATAACATCAGCCCTGGGTTATCCTAGCAAGGCCGTGTTCACAACGGGGTGAAACAACAGCGCTGAGAGGAATCCAGTCGATAGTCCCGAGTGTCCCCCTCCCAGTCTCACTGCCTCCAGAGGGAGAGCTGTTTGTTCAGAGGGCGGGTGGGGAGGAGACATGGGAGGCTCAGCAGGGTGTGTTTGCATTGCCAGGGCTTGTTGTCTCTGCTAGGTAGGGCTGAGGATGATATATGCATAACCGCAGTAGAAGGAGGGCAAAACCGTGACACACTGCAGAAACCCAACCAGAATACAAGTCTGGAATTTAAACTGGTTAGCTCTGCAAATCGGTCTCTAAACAGTGCTTGCTCTGCCGTCTGTCATACCCTTACTGCATACTTCTTCTTTATTTACATGTTTCTTGTCTTTTATCTTTTCTATGACATCCCTCTGCATTGCTGCAGTACAGGCACTTGTCTCCTACTTGGCTATGCCAGCACTCCCTCTCTCCCTCCTCCCTCCCTCTATTGCTCCTTGGCATCCATCAGTTTAGCTGCAGCTTCCCATGAGGCCTGATGGGTCACGGCCACACACACACACACACACACACACACACACACACACACACACACACACACACACACACACACACACACACACACACACACACACACACACACACACACACACACACTCAGCAATTCTCAGCAGCACTATTCATGCATGGACCTCTCGACCCATCTGCGTCTCAGCTCCTACAGATGGGAGCCGAGGCAATTCGGAGAAGTTGTCAAATGTCACACCGACACATGAATGGAGAAATCTGAAATGAGAAGGAAACAAGTTTTAGGGTTTTTTGCTGTAAACTAGCCAGTTCATGCTACTCGTGTTACTCAATGTGTAAAGGTACGGAAGGATACTGATTGCAGGACAGATTTGTGTATGGTTTGAAGATAAGATGGTGCTGCAGTTCCAGTCTTCAGAGGTCTTGAGCAAGTCGCACTTTGAACCTGTTTTCCTGGATCCCGTCTACACTAAAATTGTCTATGTAAAATAAACTTGATTTCCTTTATTGAGGAAGCATCTGCCATGTCTTAATAATAGTACAATTCATTGAGAAGTTAAAAGAAACTGTCAGTTGAAAGGTTTATGGCTTTTCCCTCTCTCTTTGTAGGGTGATAATGTTAGTAATATACTCTATCACACATTTTCCAGTCTTTGACAGGCGGGTGTAGTTTTATAGCAGAATGAGCCGTTTTACATACAGCTATAGTTGCATCGTTGTGTGGTGAAGATGGAGTTGGGAAATGGTCAATTACCGAAAACGATGGCTGATGCTCCGGGAGGCGGGTGTGTTATGCAGAGAGCCATATAAAACACTTTATCGCTCTATATAAAGGATACATTGAACTGCCAGAGCACAAGAAACTTAGATTATTTTCTGTTTCCTTAAAGTTTTTAGAATCTATCATTCTTTCTGTATATGAGTGCACTTTAAGTTTAGGCATTAAGTCAGCAAGAACATTGCCATACCTTCCATTTACTGATTTTTTAATTCCCCCTTCTGTAAGTGGAAGAGTGGAGTGAGAAATGTCAGTGGAAGATGCTGTGTGCAATTTGAGTAAACAAATAATATATATACTCCTTTTCTGATTCATTACTCTCAACCGCAGGCAATACACACACGTTTATAGATTCAGTGTGACTTACAATTCCTGGAGACATCATTATCCTTATTCATTGTGAATAAATATCCATAAATTAGCTTAGAAGTCTCAGAAAAAAACCTCTCTTTAACTCCAGAACTTGCCAAATTAATCCAGTGATAGTTGGCTAGACATCCATGGATTCCAAAAAGCGACTGGTTATAGCAAAATATTATAAAATATAGACTTCAGTGGCGAGCCGTGACTTTTGTACCTAGGCCCTCTGACCCCCCCCTACCTGACCCCCCCCCCCTACCTTCCCTCTAAAAAAAGAAGAGATATTACGTCACAGCGTATTCTTCAGCGGAATATGAAAACAACGGCCCGGGTGCAAAACGCATCAATGACAGCGACCCTCTACCACACAAAACAACACCATTTATATAAACACCTATCATGACAGGGCACCCACAGCCAAGTAACAATTACAAATGAATTAAGTCGGCACGGCGGCCCACATTGAAAATGACTTAGGCCTACCTTTGATGATCAAATCACTTAAACACAAAGTCCATCCTCCTGTCCTTTTGGATGAAGCACTTGATGGCGGGGTCATGCTGCTGATCCTTTGCCACTCCAGTTTATCATTGTAACTCAATCTTGAAAATGACTCTGTTAATAATTTCGCAACAATGTCATCACTATCACTGACGGGAGCCATTCATTTGACATTACTCTCTCGTTGAGTTACTATAGCTTGGCCCTCTCTGAATTTACAGCTGGACCACAAATTACCTCCTATCTTCACAGTAACTCGTAGAGACGGCCAAAGGAGCTTCTTTCATTTAACCCTTCACATTCCAATAGGGCTGCATGATTTAAGGAAATAATCTAAGTGCGATTTTTCTGACAGATATTGCGATTGCGATATTTGTTTTTAAGCGACCCAACGGAAGTTTATTGTAAAATACGGCCATATCTCCGGCTGGGAAGGCCGCATCAACATGCTCCCGTCTCTAGCACCCCCACAGCCCGAGCTACGAGTGAAATAACTA